AGCAATGTTTATGTTTCTTCAAATCTGTTTCAAATCGTCATCATGAGTTTGGCATAATACGAGGCAAAGGTTAATGAAGCTCCAAAAGTGAAACACTTTAAGATAATTCATTAGGTGGAATGTTAATTGTTGCACCACAATGCTGCGTCTTATATGTTTGTTAAATTCAGGGGAATGTGTTTGGAAAGTAAAGAATATGAGCCCCCGGTAATGAATCGATAATTAATTGAACAGGTAACTACAATACTTTGAATAATTGTTACGAACGACAAATAATTGATCTACAAATGAGGTGTTGAAAAATAAGAATTTATTTAATAAACTATTATGAAATAAATATTCATTTGAATGAATTAAAAACACTGTTTAATAAATCAATGAACTTCTGAAAGGGCGTCTTCTAATTCCGATCAAAAAATTTTCAAAATATTTTCATAAAGTATCACATATCACGAGCATCCAATTAAAAATGACCCACTATTTGGATTTTTCAAACAGAGATATTTTCTTTAAATGAGGGAAGTCGTTCGCTGTTCGGATCGTAAAATTTTTGGCAACGGGTTGAAAAGCGTTCAGCTCCGTCTGTATAGAAACGGGGTCGTATATTGTGTAGACTTTAAATGCAAGTTTTTGTAGATTGTTGGTCGGACGGGGTGATCCAGAAAATTATTGAGTGTGAATGGAGTCGAAATTGCAGTCGCCATCTCCACTATCTAGAAAATGGATCTTGATCGTTAAACTTTTATGCGACGCGAAGAAATGCTTATACGTGTTCAAGTGTCGCGTTATATTACTCGGAGTGTGCGGATATTACGAGCCGTGCAACCAATAAAAATTATTTCCAATTAATCGTATTTCGCTGGAGGATCCTTTCATGGAAAAGGAGTTGATTGCCGAAGTCAGTTTGAAAAGTATACTGGAAACTTTTCAGAATCCAAATACCCAAGTTCTCTGATTGAGGAATAAAGAAGCTGATGAATCCTCAACGGATACGTACCAACTCAAAGAACATACCACTCAAAGTATATTCATTAACATTCTCCTCCGAAGAGAGGTGATCCATAAGTAAATGAAAAAACTTGCCACAAAAGAAGAAACCTCATGAAATTCTAAATAAAAGATTCTCAATATCTTAAAAACTGGAATTTTAAGAAGAACGACACGGAACATTCAGATTTCGCCATAAACTCGCTTGCTTCCCAGAAATTCACCACTTCTCTGCCGATACGACAGTTTCAAGTTTAAAATATACTTTAATTTATAAAGTATTCTGCAGAGGTAAAACGTACCCATTCCAACTCTCCTACCTTCGTTATCCCGCGCAGAGTTTCTTTAAAAAGGTATAATCATTCGAAATCTCGGAAAATAATTCGGACCTTCCTACAGCGCGACGGTTTCATACAATTATATTACTTTTTAACAAACAATATTACTATAATTTTAACAATTATATTACTACATCACTACAAAATTATCTACTATACTCAAATGAAACATTCATCTACAATAAATTTCCTTTCAACAGATAAAGTCAAAAAACCAAAAACCTTGAAATATTTTACAAATTATTTTCACAACAATAGCCTGCGGGTTGCATGTACCTCGAATTTTGAAATTTCGTGGACAACGTAATAGTAAAATTTATATTCGAAACGGCCTGGCATTTGTAATTCACAAGCGGCGTCGATATGGCCCGTGTAAACGTTAATAAGCGGCCCAATAGGGCCAGAGTTGATCAATAAATCCCCCGATGGGTAAACAGCGACACGATTAAATTCGATCAGAAAAGAACCGAGCGTGGCTGGCAGGTTCGTTTTGATATCCCTGCAGAGCTGCGTCGCAACACGTACACGAATTTTCTGGCCTTTTGTGACGGCGTCCGTTTCACCTGGCATAATTACACGCGCCCACACCGCCGCGCTGCGCGGGAACGCCAGAGGAGAAACGATGATTGCGGACGAACAGCCGCGCATCATACGATAATTAATTAGATTTCACGTGATACGCGCGCATTACCCGATACGGTCAGCTTCGAAATTGATTTTTCGGTTGATTATTTGTTCGACGGAATTATCGGGAGCCCGTCGGGGCCTCGGAGCCACAAGTTGACACCGATTTCCAATTTCGCCCGCCAATTTTATTCAAACGGACGGACTGTTTCGAGAGAAATTGCATTATCACGGCCGAACGATTTCCACCGAAACTCTAATACCGCGGGAACAATTTTTGCGGAAACGGCAGTTCATAAAGCAAACAAAGCTCCTATTTCACGGATACAGTTTATTAACAGACCGAATTTTGCGATATCGTGAATAGAGGAATTAAATGGCTCTCCTATCTTAATTCCGTCCCATTATTTAGACTATCTTTTTCAATGGAAACTTCAGTTATTTGTTTCTGTATTATCATTAAAATTTCCTATTAATTGGTATTTATGAAATTTTCCGTTTGTCACGGGCAATATTCAGGATTTATTCAAACAGAAATCATGAAGAGAAAATTAAATAATTTGAAATGAATGTTTCGGAGTAAATAGAACCTGTACGTTTAACAGTTACACAGAAATATAAATTGATTCTTTTTCTTTCTTCTTCGACGGATTAAGTAAAACAAGTGAAAGAAAGCATGTGTAATTTGAAGGGAACTGGAAATTTTAAAAAGGGTAGCAAATTCTATCTGAAGTTCTGTCGGACTTCAGCTCAAGGTCGCTGGAGAATATTTCAAATTTCGAGTCACTTCGGAGCTGGGAACGAGAACGTTAGAGCCAGAGGTGCAAACTTCCTGCAAATAAACAGCGGAGTTAAGCATCTTGGGTCTCTTGGTCTGTTTAACTAACTTCCGCTCCCTGACAACCTTGGATCGTTTGAATGCCGCTGCGCATTTAATAAATTCGCTCGCTTTGGAGCTTACACGGTAATAAGAACATGCAGCACAGAAACAAGTTTCTAAAACAGACAATATTGCCCTGAATTATTTTCCGAAAAAAAATATTTGTTCCCTTTAATGATATTAAATTCTCCGCCAGGAAAAAGGAAATCTATTGTATTCATCATCTCGAGTAGCACGTTTATGAACACATTTTGCGTGTATAACTTAAGTTGAATAGCACGTTTAGCGTAATGCGAAATGATAAGAAGCGATTACAGGTAAATTATGCATACAACATCAAAAAGCAATGTTAAAGTGCTACAATTACGCTGATAATTTAACTCGAACGGTATGCAAAGCAGCCGGGAATTTATATTCTCTTGTAACTCTATCGATTTAAAATGTATCGTGGACCTAATGCGTTACGTTCACGCGAAATTCCTGTCCATCTGTATCGCTCGCAACTAAAAGGAAGAAATTGTGCCCGAGTGTTGCTGGTTATCGATGATATCTTAATGTTGAACACCTTTAAGTGGAAACGTGAAACAAAAAATTTACTTCCTTATCTCAGAAACGGATTCGTTTGATTTTTATTGCGCGAGGTTTAATTATTCTAAGTGAAGAACTAAAATAAAAAGTCCTATTTGATATAATTCGATAAAAATCCACGTGAATCTTATAATTAGTGAAAAAACGATATAAGGACTTCTGTGCATTAGTTTCTCTTTCCTACAAACTTCAAATAAACAATTGGCCAAGAAGTAATTTCACTGATAATATTTATCTAGTTGTTGCCCGCTAATTCTACTTGCAATATAAATTGATACCGGCATTATTGAACTGTGAACTAATTTGCTATAAATATAAAAATAAATTTAAGTAGAAACAATCATCAATAGTTACACACGTAGAAATGTTTTCTCTAGCAAAGACGTGTGAAAAGAATGAATATATGTAAAATCAATTGCTGTCCACGTAAAACAAATGACTTCACTTTTGATACTTATGCTTCTACATATTTAAAAAAAAAGGTTGGCAAGTTAACCCACATCGATAAGCAAACGTGAGATAAAGCTATCTGGCTAGCATACAATACGGTATATCCACTATGAAGCAGTCGATGAACAACGATCAACAAAGCAGCACGTAGTACATTATCAATTCAACGTCAACCTCATGTACTTTCAGCATTACCAGCGGCGCGGCCCAAACTATCGACAAAGAATCGCGTGTAACCGACAGTTCACGCGATGCTGGTGAATCCATGTAATGCGTTCAAGAAGGAAAAGAGGATTCGCGTTCAACGAGCTATCGAATATCGTTCCTCTTGTTCGCCGCTTGCTCCGCTTACATCGAGCCGTGTAAAACACATATTTCTCAATAAATCCGAATTACTGGATTGTTACGAAAAAACACTGTACTAAATAAATGATCAGTCAAATAAAATTAACAAAAATGAGACGCGCACATTGAATTTTCAGTTTATCAATAATGATCGGAATCAGTTTATTCGGTATTACGATAACCTAACAATCCTGAAATAAACAAATAATAAAATAATAACGTCTCTAATTTAATTGACAAGTCAACTAATTTTTCACGATTAAACGCTTAACACGAGTAAAAGACTCGTGAAAATATAAAATGATCTTAGCAAAGCAATCTTCCCTTATCTCCAAGTACACGATAACTCACACATTTTTGCCCAGTTCGTCATATCTCCACATTTTTCTACAAACTATTTCTCAACGCCAATTTAAAACATTAATTTACCACTTGCAATAAAGAAAAAGTAAATATAGCATCCTTTCATAAACAAATTCATGTATCGCTCTCTCGAAAAGTGCTACATTCTCCGCTAACTCTCATCCTGTCGCGAAAGCAACAAAGCTAATTCTCACTCGTCGAATCTAGACACCCGGCACGCATCAGGGAACGTGTCGACGGCTGAACCCGACCGTAGAAAATCGTTCGCATCCGAAGTGACTCTCTCAGCCTTGGCCCGATCGACTCGCAGCATTGGCGGAGGATCTTACGTAACACGCGTGGATACGCCGACAGTCGAACCGTGTTCGTGACACAAGAACGGGGTTCGAGGAGAAAAGTGCGAAAGTCGGTTGCTGTTCACTCACCTATCTCCTGGTTGGTGATCCTGGCCCGGCTCCGCGTGGCGGCGGCGAGGACGAGGAGCAGCGACAGAAGCGCGCGAACGTAGGCGGCCATCTCATCCCGGAGCATCTCGACGCCTCGATGTCACGTCACGTCACGTCACTCGTAGTCACGTCGGCGAGCTGTAG